GCAGAGGATAATGGTTGTAGCCGCTGCGATGCTTTCGACCAAAACAGGCGCAGCTTGATGACATCATCAACATGCGCTATCACGGTAGAGCGGTATAGTCAAAATCTCGATCGTTGGCCAAATTTATATCATTTCTATCGTATATAGTTTTTATCGCCCACCCCTAACCAGAGTAATCTGATTTGAGCTCATTATTTAACCAGCTAATCAAATATGGTTCTGTAAACGATTAGTTACTGACAGCAAATGGGTCGGCCTGCTCCCAGGAAATGGGCGTCCCCCAGCTGCTGAGCCTCATCTTGTCAGGCAAAGACTCGGGCACGGCCAGCAGGATGAAGCAGATGTCAGCCAGAGCGATCAGCGTGGCCACCAGAACCACCAGATTGTCCCCGTACCAGGCAGAAAGGTACGCTCCGATGGCCGGGCTCGTCACCAGGCTGGCTGCAAAGGTGGCCGACACCTGAAGGGATGAATTTCAACAGAGCACAGCTCAGGTATTTTTCTGTCCTGAGTCATGTCTGCACACAGATTAAGCTGATCTGTCAGTTTCTTTTCGTGTAAGATTCAGTTTCAGGAATTCAATACCATCAACAGTCTGTCTGCCTGATGCACTGTTTGATTTTAGGGGTGTACATTAGGACTCCTTACCAGACCATAGGCTGTACTCCTCTCTCTCTCATCCGTAACATCGGCAACGTAGGCGAAGATGACTGAGAAAGTCACGGAGAAAGCTCCAGACATGGAGATCATGGCGAAGTACCACCTGGAGGAAGTGAAAAATAGATTCAGTTTCAAGAAGACTGATACGAGAATTTTAACTTCTCTGACTCTCTAATTGACTGAAATCCAGCAGTGACTTGATTTTTGACAGGCACACTGAAATATTTCATTAAAAGATTGACTATTTCACTCAGGTCGGATCCATTAGAGCAGCAGTTCCTAACCTTTTACATCTGATGTAACTGCCCAGCAACACTGTTTATGTTCAACTGCATAATGCTGTACACATTTTAAACTCAATATCAACTAGTTTGAACTCTTTGTGTCTCAGTTTAATCAACAATGTTACTTAAGATTCTAACTCACATTTCAATTGCTTGAAATCTTGCTATTTCAACTATTAATTTGTGTTAGCTCAGAAGGTAAATGCTAGCCATACTTTCCGATGTAACCTTTTTTAGTCATAATATTGTTGCAACAGAGAATATTAGAGTCCTACCAGGGGCTGAGCCTCATCAGAGGGATTGGAGCACAGGTGAAGAAGACGGTGACCAAAAGGAAGGACCGCCTGCCCCATACGTCTGACAACGCACCAATCAGAGGCGCAGACATGAATGACAGCAGACCCTAGAAAGGCGGAGTCAATGATAAAAACTGTTTAAAAAAGTTGCAGCAACAGTGAAATATATCTGTGTGGTCATGCCATGCTTGATTCATCTTTTATTCATGACGGTTTTCTGTCATTATTACTTATCACGCCTAAAGTCTAGATATCGTTCAAAAATGACCCATTTCATTGTAGCTATTTTCCTAAATCACTGTTACACCCGTTTAATCTGTATAGCATCAACAGAATGAGTCACAAAATGGAAAAGTTGAGTTTCTTACCTTCACGCCCTGAATGAGTCCATTCATCAGGAATGTGTGCTGGGGAAATGTTTCATGCAAAACCTAGGAAAAAAGATACAACACCATCACGGATGAAACAGTATGAAGCAAGGTACAGAATGTATGCAGTTAGAGCTGGAAAGTCTTGGACAACTTTTACAATTTTTCATTAAAAACTATTAAAAATAAAACAATCAAGCCACTGGAAATAAGGCTGTGTATAAAAATAACAGTAATTTCTCATTGGTTAATGCAAAGGTTTTTTTTAACCCCTCAAATTACATCTTATGATCTATACTTCATTCACACTCTGACATATTTAATTTCCAAAGTTTAAAATTTAACTCATCTTGATCTGCAACATATATGCTATTTATGTACTTTGGAACACAAAGGACTAAGATACACCTGCTGATCTTACAAACAATCACAGCCAAATTTCCCAGATTAAGGTTTAAGTCTAGTCCCAAACTTAAAGAAAGACTTAGTGGAGATCTCCACTGAAAATATTTATGGTCTAGGACTGGGAAACACACATAATCAAAACACATAAAATTACTCTGATATTCTTTTACCATATTTAGATTTGTATTATTTTAATGCTTTCAAATGCATGTAGATGAGATTTGTTAATACAAAATCACTACTTTTTCTAATGCTTTACATTTTGACAAACCTACATTCACAAAACCAAACCCTCTTCCAGAGAACAGAATAAAGACTGGATTACTACCAAAGGGTTCATTTTGGTTGTAATAGTGGTTTTGTCCCATATTGATGTAAAATAGCCATATAGTGCCAGTCAGATTTGAGAAGGACAATCCAATAATATAGATTTTTCAACATCTTCTTCTAACTATAAACAATATAGCTCAGTCTTAATTCAGTAAGTGCTAAATCCATTGTAAAATGCAAAGCAGACCTGGAAAAACGGACTAACAGTGAAAAGGACACTGACATCATCTCTGCAATAATGCTGCCTACACAGCATGACTAATTTTCATTTCTTGTTCGGTCTTATTCACACGGAGGCTTTGAATGAACCGGGGTAGCTATATAGATGTTAATGTAAAAACCAATCGGTGTTACTCACAGTGAGCATGGGTGTGGTGAGTAAACCCCAGGAGAAAAACTCCAGGAAGATCACCACCACGGCATGATACACGCTGGGCCTGCCGATGCCCTGCTGGAGCTGAAACGAAAGAGAAACAACACAGACATGTGTCATATGATCATGAATGGATTTTAAGGTGGTATTTCAGCAGGACTTTAAACAATCATCCATTGAGTTTTAATGGTTTCCCTTCGTTCCAGGCCCTTATTTTGTGTTTTTTGGTACAAAAAGTCAACTTTCACAGACAGACGCTGGTTACCTGCCATTTTTTGTCTCAACATGACATTATCATCATCACATGGTAATGTTGTTGAGAGCAGAGACTGTTTCCAACATTGTCCCCTAGGGTCTGACATCTAGGATTTGCCAGTGAATACTGAAATTATTGACACACCAAGTCAGAATTTATGTGCAAAATATTTGCAAAAATTCATGGAAAATCGTTTGTTTCTTCTTGCGTTCCAGAGCTAAAACGTCACATGATAAAAAAATGATTCTCGTGTCTTCCAAAATTAGGTTTTACTAATAAATCCGTGTCTACTTAATAAGGTTGCAACATGCCGGTGAGAGACAGCAGCCTACGATTGTCATCTTTTCTCCACCTACCTGGTACCCCTCTTATTTAGCGAATTATGTGAGCCATCACCACAGGTTGAGGCCACCATTACAACAAATGCCACCAGATAAAGGTGAACCACTGGAACACAAACGAATCTTCGTCGCACTCATACGAACCAAAGATTTTGCGTTCCTGCAAACAAATAACAGCGTTACAATCCTTCCTCAAACACAGTACCAGCCGCGGCCATTTTCTTCTCGCTTCGCCAAGGCTGCATGGCCAGAAGCATGAAAAGCAAATCATCATTGTTGTCGTTAAAGCTTGGACCAGCGTGACTATGAACCAGACTTGGTGTGAGGCAAGATTTACATTTGTTTTTAACTGGATTTCAGTGTTTTAGAAGCATAAACCGAGGTAATGGTTTTTTGGAAGGGATAGACACATAGGGTTAAATAAGACACTTTTTATGGCAGACAGGTAAAACTGCAGTCTCAACTGAACCCATTTTCTAACACGTTTTAAAGATGATTAAAACACAGCGAGTATTAAAACTGGAGCACAGCACATGAAGTGATTACCAGCCGGCTGACACAGATACACAGGATTTAGGTGGCAAATTGGACCATTTTCTATATTTAGTTTGACTAAAAGCAGGTTTCACTAGCACACATTAGAACCACATAGATTATGTGTTACTCTTGGCTGTCCTTCTGTACAAATAATTTTCACAAGAGCAGGAGTGATGTGGAAAAGATTCCTGTACGACCAAATACAACATTCTTCTTTAGTGACTCCATAAAATGACACGATTAAGAAATTATATTTGCATAATTTAAAATTATGGGTAATAACTTTTGTTTGTTTGTTTTTTGCAGGAATTAGCCAATTTGTGTGGCAGGTGTTGTGGGAAATAAATACTTGTAATTACCACACTAACATGTACATCATGGTTATTTGTCTTTTTAGTGTTTGTGCACAAAATATTGGAAATATTACAAAACTATAAAACTAATATCCCCCATGTGTTATGTTTATTTAAATGTTGTTGTATTTCATTTATATTACGGTGTTAAAATCATACTAGAATACCCTAAATACATAACTCATTTAATAATTCTTTTATTTTTTTTTATTTTTTATAGTATTATTGAAACAAATAAAAAAAAATTTAAGTACTAACAGGAGACAATTGTCTACATAAATGTAATGTTTGTACAATTTGTGTTTAAAAAAATTATAAACAGAAATGAATGAAAAGTATAAATAATGAGATTAGAACATGTCAGAAAAGTTGTCATATATCACCATCTGAGGGCAGCTGGAGCTGAATGGTTCAACTGCATTTTTATAGAGAGAAATAGAAGAAGGCTTGGAGAAAATTGAGCAAAAATATTTTATGATTTTATGGTAAATTCTGCATGACACAAACCATAAATTGTCTATGGTAAATAGACAATAAATGATCAAACAGTAACTAAATATGAAGCTAATGCTGAGCCCAGCTTTTTGGACTTGCCTGGACTTTGTCAGCATCCTGAAGTGATAAAAGGTTTAGTTTGAGGCTTTGCAGAAAGATCTCTGCTGAAGCCAAAGCACATTTACTCCATAATGCTATATTATTACACAACGCACTTAACCACCTACCTGAGCGTTACACAGTGGGGCTGTGTTTTTACAGATTTACTAGAGAGGTTGTAATGCATGTACCCAGATGAGCTGCAGAGCTGCAAAGCTGCCACTAGTGCTGTTGTCCTAAAGGCATTTACAGGCAGTTTCTACTAGACATGCATTAACTATGTACCGTACAACCATGCTTTCACCTTTCGCTACAATTAAATATTAAGTGACGCTTTTAAACTGCATCTGCTGACCACATTAACAAACAACCCATTACTAAAAAAGCTATTGGTCTCTTTTAGTCTTGCTACCTTTGTTTATCTAGTTCCTGCTGTGATTTAAGTTAAATATAAAATTTAATTCCCGCCTCTCTTGTTTCCCCCATATCTTATTGTTAAGCTCTGTCACTGTGTTAGGTGTTCCTCTTTTATTTTGGTAGTCTTTATCTTTTGTATTTAGTTTTACTTCCTCTGTTATCATTGATTCGTTTCAGCTGTCTTCCAGGTGTTTCCCCTTCCCTTGATTAGCCCCAGTGTGTCCTGTGAATATGTAAGCATCAGTTTCTTTTTGTTCTTTGTCATATTGTCTGCTGTATTGTTTGCTCTAACGACTAGTTAGCAAAGTGCTCTAACAGTTACTTTGTTGATGACCTCGTGGTCTTAGTGGCTAGTTTTAAGTTTTTAATAGAACAAGATGTTCTTTTGGTAGATTTTGGTCACTTTCAGAGAGAAACAGATCATAAAGCTACATATGCTTTACACTATAGTTACCACATGTTTAATGTCACTTCACCTCCTCACTTGTTTTTCTTGCAAGTTCAATTTAAGCCTCTTACCAATTTAGTTTTCCATTTAATTGTAATTGTAGCAAATGATAGATGCATTTTGTATGTTCCCCAGGAATGTGTTACCTAATGCTTGCACTAGCATAAAATCAGTTCAATATGCGGCTGGGTATTTTGCAGACATTTTAAGTGACAAACATGACACTTCAAATAATCCAAAACTGAAACCACTATGAAAATTTGCTACAGCAAAAATAGTGGCAGAAATATAACTTAATATAACTTAATCTTAACTTGGGGCAAATTCCGCAAAATATGTAAGTAAATAAGTAGACAAGTGTCCTAACCAATCAAATTTGAGTTCACGTAGACCAGAGGCTCCGAAAGTGTGGGGGGATGCACAGCCAATATTGTGGGGGGGGAGTGCGGTATGAAAGGAAAAAAAAAAGAAAAAGAACACATCGGGAGCAGCGCTGGGCTCTCCAAATCACAGACAAACAGTATCCCACATTCTTGATTTTTAGTTCACAAACACTTGTTGTAATGACTAACTACTCCTGACATTTTGGAGATGTTGGCTCTTTATACAGGAAAGTTACAGTGGGATACAAATAATATCAGGCTGATCCTGCCACGATTTGTTCCCCTGGTTCAAATCACAGACAAACATTATCCAACAGCTGTTTATGTTTTTAAACCCATTTTGCACAGAGAGACATTTTTTGAAAAATGTATTGATAGCAATGTTGAATATTATTGCACAGGAAAAAACAACTACATGTAAAATAATCACACCATGACGCCTCTACCTTTGTAAATGGAGGACCAGTAAATCTGTGTGTATATGTAAGTGTGTAAAACCTGAAGATAGTCAGATTGTTGTATGTTGTCTCTATCTGCCATTCATCTCATGTAAACAATAATGTGGCGCACAGCATGACGTGAAAAAAGGCACATACCTTTGACGAACTCTGTATTCCTCGTCATGTAATACAGACGTAAACGCAAAAACTGAGTTTTAAACAATCTCAATTTTCGGTGATTCGAAAACGCCGTTTACGTGTGGACGAAAGGCCCAAACGCACAGAAACAGCTGCGTTTTCAAAAATACCCGTGTAGGTGTACCCGCGATCATTTTTTCAAAAAAAGTTTAGGAACCACTGACTTAGACAATGACTTAAAATAACTAAATAAATAGGTGCCCTGAGGCAATTGAAGATGGCAGCCGATTTGCAAGACTTGTTTCTAGAAGGTCTCGGGGTCATTTTTGTGAGAAGAAAATCATAGAGGACTGACTCTGTTTGCTCCATCTCTCCAAAACTTGGGGATTTCTTTGAGTTAGGTCTCCCACAACTGCTCCCGTTGATGTCAGTGGTTTCACCTTTGGACTCAGCAATTTAATTTTTTATTTTTATTTTTGAGTAAGGCAGCAGGGATGTGCAGCTTTATTGGCTAAAAATTGGCTATGTTGACTGCTGTCAGCTTATAGGAAAAAAATATTCGTATTTTGTACCACATATCTTGGATTCAACTTAATGAACTTGATAGTGATTATTCAAAGATACCGATTATTAACAAGGTTAGGATTACGACAGTTATTAATTATAACAAAGACTTCTTTGTCTCACTCTGGAATAAACAACAAAAAACCCCAATAAACTAACAACAAATTTTCTCTCATGACAAAACCGTCATTTGAAACAACCCCTTAATGAAGCAATCTTAGCTAATCTTGTGCACCACATACATTTAGTCGTTTCAGTGATTTCCACTGAGAAGCAATTTAATCATTCAGCTTGTTAAATATGAAAAAATAGTGGAAAATTATACTGTCAATTATAGGTGACGCATTCAAGCGAAAAGCTTAAATCCAAAAAGATTATTTCCACTTAATGGTACCAGTTTAAATTAAACTCATTTATTATTGTCTATTATTGTTTGTGTTCAGAGACACTTTGGTGATAAACCACTAAGAAACATATTTATGAGGATCGCTTTGTTTGCTTGAGATAAATAGTAACAAACAAATTGTAGTCTGAAATATCTGTGAAGGCAGATGCTTTCCCTTTAAGGCAGAGGTCCTTCTGGCCTCTCAGTACTCTTAATTTTGGCACACCTTGATCACCATACTTCAAACAATTATTCCCATTGATTAAACTTTAATCACCTGGCCTGGAAAATATCAGAAAACAGTGAATGTGCTGTCCATCACAGGTGATGTATTTATGCACCAAACAATACTACTGCTGTTTTATTCCTGGTTTATTATTGTCTTAAATCTTCCCATCAGATTTCTCCCAGATATCTTCTTTCCCTACTAAATCTGAAGATATTCATTTCACCGAGGAAGAAAAGCAGCAAATCTCAGAAAATTGTTCACACTTGCATCACAATCACTGGTGGTGATGGTGGGGGTCTTCAGCTTCTGTAAATGTCTGACTCGTCTTCATGAGGGATGTTAAAATGGACGCTGAGGCTGCGGAGCGATGAGTCTGCAGTGTGCGCCCTCCCCGGGTGAATTTCACGCATGGAGCTGTTATGTAACAGCTGATGGATCCGTCCTGACCACAGCAGCATGCACTAAGCTGCAGCCGTCTGTGTGCCACATTAAACCTGCCCTGTCCTCTCCCCGTTACTGTGCACTCACCTCCAGCCATTTTGGACCAGACCTGCTCTGTCACGGCTGATTATTATTATTAATATTATTATTGCTATTATTATTTTTAAAATAACAACACTGTCACTACTCAAACATCCCATTTTTGCCTTTTCCCCTTTTAGATTTGTTACGTTTTAGGTTTTTAATCATTTGAACAGTAAACACAGTAAAGTATAAATGATTTAAGCAGAAATTTCCACGTTTTGTTGGCATTTTGCTGTGAAAAACACTAAAAACAATCTTCTTTTTAAAGCTGCACTGATTTGATAAACCAGCCTTACGTCATGTGTTTAATTCCCTGTTATGTCATAAACATACAGCCCTTTAATTGTTTATTTATTTGCTGAGAATTGAGTATTATTATGGTTGCGTGGGTGATTGAACTGGACTGAATACACACGTCATTTATTGTCATTGATTATCAATATCTAAAAACACCTGCTGGACAAACAGAGCTGTGCGTTTATAAATGAGCAATAAAATACAAGTAAAAATGGCGGGTCGTGCACCCACCCCAGCTCCGTCCTTCATGATGATCTTCTTGACCAACAGCACTCGGCCGGTGGCTGCCGCCGGTTCTCCCGACGTCTCTTCGCACCTGCCGCGGGTCACGAAGCATCCGTGCCGCGTGGATATCCGCGGTTCTCCGGGCGCTTCCAGGGTGTCTACTTAATGAGTCCCCACGCAGAAGCAAAAACCGAGCTAACGGAGGATAACGATTACAGAAACGGTGACCGGTAATATCCACAGCACCTCTTTCTCTGGATCCTCCGTTCTCTTCAGCACCGAAACGTCCGCAGCAGCTCGGAGACGACGTCACTGACACTCAACACCCAGAGGACTTCCGGCTGGTGCTCTTTTCACAATAAAAGCCGAACATAGTCACGTCATTCCATAGACTGTATATAAAAGATTGAGCCCTCACTGTAATGTCATAAAGTTCGCATTTTGGAGCCTAAACGGCAGAGGTGGGTAGTAACGAGTTACATTTACTGAGTTACATTTACTTGAGTAAGTTTTTGAAAAAAAGTTACTTTTAAAGTACCTTTTTTGCACAATACTTTTTACTTTTACTTGAGTAAATTTGTGAAGGAGAAACAATACTTTTACTCCACTACATTTGCAAAATTCAACTCGTTACTTTTTAAAAAAGAATTTGTTTAACACATTAGATAACATCCGCCAGTGGAGTTTCCAGTAACTCTTTTACCAATCAGATGTGGCCATGCAGTCACATGACCAGTTTGAAACTGTGGAAGGCAGAGCGGGCCAAGCGTTTCAAAGTAGCGGACACACGGAAAGAAACACATGAAAACATGGCATGCGATTTTTTTTTCAGTCGCGTTATTCAGCTCCTGCTCAAACTGTACAATTGAATCTCAGGGGTTAGAAGTTCAAAGGTCACGATGCAGGGTCTCGCACTATACGGCCTGATGCTCTGATGCGACTTGAGTGCTCAAACTGTGCGTCCATAACATGAAGCTTATCATACAAAATCTGTCTCTCGCTCTCCCTCTCTGTCTTTCGCTCACACAGACACACACCACCACCATCAACTTTGCTAAATTACTAATGAAACACATTGACCAGGCAGCTGCAATTGAGCAGCAATGTCCATCCAACTCTTTTCATGGAATACGGAAGCGTAGTACGGATGCGTAGAGCTGCCACCCAGGCAAAAGAAAAATAGAGCTATATCACGTTATAACGTGAAAAGTATATTGTTCTAACAACATTATTACAATATACATAATTATCACGTTCGTACAATATAATATTTATATTGTACGAACGTGATAATTATGTATATTGTAATAACGTGATATTGTTCAAACATGAAAGGTATATTGCACTAACATGAAAAATATATTGTTAGAACAATAAACTTTTCACGTTATAACGTGATATAGCTCTATTTTTCTTTTGCCTGGGTGGCAGCTCTACGCTTCCGTACTCGGATGAGCTTGCCACAGTTCTACAAGTTGTGCCTCCATCTCATGTCCACTGCCATGCTGCTCTGCCTTTTCACTTTCATTTCTGCTTGTGCGTGCGCAGTGTGAGAGGCTGCGTTGAGGGGCGACAGGATTTCAAACAGGTTTGATTTTCTTGCGACCATACGATTGATGATTTGGAGCTGGTCGTGAGGTGTTAATCGCTTTTCGTTACCCCATGTATACTACATGATGCATGACACACGATTAAGGCGAAACTCGGGCCGATCCCCAAAAAACGGTTGCGCGACTGAAAAATCGGCTCAAAATGGGCCAAAAAAATTGCACAGTGTATGCCCAGCTTTTGGAGGCTAGCTTCATCCAACTCCCTACCCTGTGGTTGGAAGGGGTGTTTTTCATAATTTTGCAGCCACGCAGACTGAGGTGTTTATCTTCTCAGGAGGGCCATGGAGAGATTAGAGGCTACATCGCAGCTCCAGTCATGGCCAGGGCTGGACTGGGACAAAAAATCGGTCTGGGCATTTTGACTAGAGACCGGCCCACCAGGTATTAGGCTATAGGAAAAGCCATAAAGCCTTTGAATGAAAACAGATGCTGTTGTGACAGTGATGTACACTGTCTTGTTGGTATATGTATGATTTCTATACATTTTACGTCAGATAAAAACTTTTTAAATGAGAATAAGAAAGAAAAGTATTTCTTTGTGCCCCCCTTTCCCTGATAATGCCCTACCTGCCCCCCTGGGAAAACTTTGCTAGACCCGCCCCTGTACAGTTACCAGCTGTTAGATACTAAAAAAGGATCCTGGTGTTATTTGTCTCTCAGAAACAGTTCATAGCTTCCCTTCAACTCATTCATGTGACCTAAAAGGTAAACCTGTTTCTCCATCACCTGTTCAGCTCTGATGATTCAGTAAGGACATCTCCTGGTTTCATCTTCATGTTTCCCTCTCACCAGATAACCAAACCGACATCATGACCAGCAGCTTTTACAGCCCTGGCTCCAGCAAACATCAGCTGATACTCGAAATTAATATTAAATAAATGCTAACAACAGCTGATCAAGCGCAACATCTTTCTGGCACAAAGTGGGTGATAAACAAGAGAGAAAAGCCGATCAGCTGATCATTGATCAGTTTCATGATTGAAGTAGCAACAGGAGAGGGAGGGGGAGAGGATGAGAGGAGAAGAGGCAGCTGGCAGCGTAAAGACAGAATAACTCCAGCTTTGTGTCTTTTTCCATTGTAGCTGAAGTACAGGACAAACTCTGTTTGTTTTCAGCTCAATACGAAACGCGTAATATTTTTTCTGAATGCGGGACGATTCTGTTTGTACAGGATGGTTGGAAACTCTACTAACCTTATGAATAAAATAAAGTTCACTATCAGTAACATCATAGCACCCACCAGCTGTATAGAAACTCTGTCATGCTAGCTAGTAAGAGTTATTGTAACTGACTGTAAAAAGTCAGCACAACGAAAATAAACTACACCTGAACTTGGTTTATATCTGACCCAGATAGACTGCAGGTCATAACTTCTTACCTGAAGTTCATTTCACCTGCAGCCGCCTCGGGTCTCTCCTCCTCCGGCCTCACCTTTCCCTCATCCACCTGCTGGCTTCTGTGGAAGCTCCGCCATAGCCACCACCAAACAATTGAGTTATTTTTTACACATGACCAGCATCTGGCCAATCCACCACCTCTCATTGTTTATACTCTTACAAAAAAAAAAAAATCATCGGCCCATAAAAACGAAAAATTACCCGGTGGGCCGATGGCCAGTCCAGCAATGGTCACGGCTTCCATCACTGTCTTTCCCCAGAGTAACAGCCAAACAGTGCAAGGAGGATCTATTGGTTCTTATTTTAAACTTAATCTGGAATTCATTGCAAACTGTTTGTGTGGGATATGAATGACAAGATTTTGTTTTTCAACAGGAGTTAGTAAAAAACATCTCCAGTGTGATCAAATGTTCTTGCCAAACATCTGCAGCTTGGCAGTGTATACATTACTATAATGACCAGACCTAATTCTTTTGAATACATCTTTCCACAGGTCTCAACTTCATCAGACATCACCTAGACACAGAGATGGATGAGTCCAGCACAAACAGCAGCCTAACTGGCTAAGATGATGGGTCCATGGAGTCAGGAAAGCCAGAAGTAGGGGAGCTGGAGAGGTACCTTTCATGCCCATTCACTGGAGGTGTGGATCTATTGCATGGCTTTCCTCACATCAAGAAGCTTTCGATCAAAATCAGTACAGCTCTTCCTGCATCTGGAGCTTGTGAAGGACTTCTTAGTCATGCAGGACTCCTGTTCACTGCTAAACAGTTACAGCTTCACAGAAAGAACCTTGAGAGCAAACTGCTGCTGAAGCTTAACCATCACTTCACTGAGTGAAGAAATGGCACATTTTTGCTAAATATGCAGTAATAGATGCACACCCATACAATTTATGGTAAACTGAGCTGCCTTGTATGGACATATGTTGAAGATGCCTCGTTCTAATGGTTTCTCTGAGGCTGCTGTGCCATTTGGAGCAAAAGTGAATGTAAAGTTTACAGCATATCTTGTCACTGGAAATTGTTTGCACTGTTTATATTATTTACTGTAGGCATTGGTGAAAAAAGCCTTATGTTGTGAAAAACTGAAATCTGGAAATTAGAATTGTTGTGCCTTATTTTGTTGATGTTTTTACATATATTCCTTTTGAAAATACAAAAATTTGTATATTTATTTATTTTTGTTTGTCTGATAGCATTTATTTAAAAAATAAATCGGACATTTCAAACAGTTACTCACTGAGTAGTCTTTTCTCCAAGTACTTTTTTACTCTTACTTGAGTAACTTTTTTGAACACTACTTTTCACTGTTACTTGAGTAATAATATTTTAAAGTAATGCTACTCTTACTTGAGTACAATTTTTGGATACTCGACCCACCTCTGCTAAATGATTCAGATATTTTTCTTCACAAGCAAAGGGAAAGTTAACAGATTACATTTCAACAGTATGGCTCAGTTTTCCTACCATTACCTTTTCAGTAATACAGTAACATAATGGATTACTGTACTAACTATTAGGGCTGGGCCATATCATACCGTTCACGGTAATACTGGTATAATGTTGGGCAATAATAAGAAAATGAAATATCGCAATAGAATATCGGTAAAACGCGCATGCGCAGTGCCTTTGTTTTCATTTGCACATGGCCGAAAAAGCATGGTTGCGGTGACGGAGAATGAGAAGGGCGAAAGCGGATCGTTATTTTTGGTAGAGCATGCTAGCGGGCCGTCGTTATTACCGTGTTTTTTGGAAAATACGGCACACTTAAAATCAATCCTTTGATTGTTCTGAAAATCGACAGTGCCCCTTATAATCCCGTGTGCCTTATGTATGAATTCTGGTTTTGTTTACTGACCTCGAAACGATTTTATGTACACGGCGCTCGAAAATCTGTCAAATGTTTCAGTACGACTTTGCTAAGCTACGAAGCCGCACCGCTTGATGGATTGTTGGAGCATTATGGCTACCGTAGGCAGGAGCCTCGCGGAGTGATACGTACTGTGCTTCAACATAATATTACAGTATTGTGTGTGTATAACCTCTTTTTAAGTTTTGTGGATATTATACATGGTTATGCTGAGGATATGTCGGCCAGTTTCCACTGGAAATGCCTTTTGGTTAAAGTGTCAGCAAGGAATTTACATTCGCACTGTTACGTTTTTATATAACTTTAATGCAGATTAAAAAAAAACAGTTGCTTGTTTAAGTGAAAATACATTAATGGTTTTTTTTTTTTGCACTAATAAAGTTGTGGAGTTGTAAAGTATTTTGTCTAGTGTCAATTATATCGTCAGTTATGTCGTTATCGCAAATTTTCAAATGTATATCGTGATAAATATTTTTGGTCATATCGTCCTGCTCTACTAACTATAGTTACAACTATGCTGTTACTCTCATATCAAAGAAGAAAAAGAATGCTCTTCAGTCGAGTGGATGCAGACTCAGCATCAAAGAAGGGTTACTGAGGCACTATGTCTTTTGGTAACGTTTATTCTTGGAGCATATCAACTCATAAGTCATCCACAGCCAGTCACAGTTAAATACCAGGCCTGGGTTTGCAGTCAGTCAACTTCCATGACAAAGTAATTACCCCTAGAGACTGCTAGAATTAAAAAGGCAAGGGGCATAAATTTCTAAACAATTATACACAAACTAAACTGAAGTGTATTATTAGAGCAATAATACAAAAGTATCTGAAAAACAAACAAACAAACCTAGATTTATAATACATCACAATAAAATAAGCCGCAATTGAAATATTAAAATGGACATACTCATGTACAGTACAGAAAAGCAATAAGCAATTGTGTTTTCCTAGCTAATATCTAAAACACAGGACAGAGTTAGCTACTACAAAGAGAAAATGAACATTAACAGCCTTAGAGCATCTCGCATGCCTGGATAAAATCCTCAAAAATTTCAAAAAGAACTACAAGAGAATTAATTATTGTTTTTAAGCTAAAAAGACCCAAAGAAATACAAATGTTTATTTCCACATTTCACTAACAGAAACTAATCGGTAATTTCTTTTACTTTGAAAGCCGAACTCTATTTCCTGTCTGATAAACTAAACTTGACTGATGATCAGTTGAGTACGGTTCGGTCCATTGGAGATATTTGTGTCTTAGAGCCTCCCTGAGCCTGACGGGGCCAGAACAGAAACCGGACCATCTATTTGATTTAAGCCATGAAGAAAGGGACTGAAAAAGGACTGTGAGAGCGTCTGCTTGGCCAGGACCCCCATGGATAAGCACGTTTTCAAGTCAAGTTGGGACAATAAGGTCTTATATAAGGCAGAACAATAACACAAGACCGGATATAATCCTTTCACAATAAAAGTGCTGCTAAAAGTGAAGAGGCGGAATAGAAAAAAAAAGAAAAATCAAAGAATCAGTTTTTATTCGCAACTTTTAATTAATTAAAGATTTAAATACATAATTTATTCAAATCAGTAGATTTTCATCAGCCTTAAGACCAGTACTGAGAAATTGGGGGAACGTGTGTGTATTATTTTGAAAACGAGGCTGGACCCCGGTTGGTTTTGACAGTGGCAGACGGAGGTGAAAAAACGAGAGACTCACGTGTCTGTGGCTGTGGTCGTTATGTATGTGTGTGTGTTACTGTCTGTATGAATAAAACATGACAAAAAAAGAGTGGTGACGGTGGGAAACGTGACCGGCCGACTCGCATCATCAATCAGGAGAGAAGCAGACGCAGATTGAAACATTTAAAGTGATCACCATCTTATTTTAGAAGCATTATTCTGCCTCCACACATAAAGGATAGCCGTGATTACACTTTTTTAGTGCCTTAATCTACCCAGTGAGGCCAAAAAGATCATAAGAATGATGTACACGGACATGAAGAGCCTCAGAGGCAGAGATGAGCTGTGATCATGCTCCAAAAAAGAAAACAGATGTGAGGCAGTGTCTGGAGAAATGAAATCAAAGATTTTCTCTCTGGCCCTGTGTTTATCTGCAGCAGCTGGTGCACTGAGGAGAAACCAGGCATCTTGGAGCTTCCACCAGTTAAAAGCAAATCATATTTCCATGGATACATTTGAAAGAACACATATTTATACACTCCGGAGATAAATGCAGGTGACTCAGCGTCTCTCTGGCAAAAACACATGTATGTACCATTTGATCTGTTTTCAAGTCACCAGAAGCCCAAATCTTTGGCTTTGGGCAATTTAAAGGACATGCTGTATTTACAGAAGCCTTTAATCTTTCATTTAGACCTTTAAACGGAAACCACATCCATGTGGAATTCCTCATTGTCCGCCAATGCAAGAACACTTTTTCAATCAAGAATTAAATGATTAACTGATCAGAGTTGGTTGAACTTCATGGGTATTAGTTGGTTCAGAAACAGAGACCAGTGAGAGTCCATTTCATCTGCTGTGCTGAAAATCAAAGCGACAGACCCCACTCCAGACTCTCTCACATCTGCCACATGTGTTCAGTGTGAACCTGTTAAGAAAACAGGGCACCAGTGGCTGACCTGCCAGTTCTGCTGTTCTTTGGTGACTCCCAGCTGATCTGGTGTGCTGGTCCGTCACAGAGTCTGTCTCTGACATGCTCATAAGTGATGTGGTGCAGGTCGTTTTGCTGTGAGCTTCCTGTTCCATGGAGCCCAGAGTTGTGTTTTTTGGTTAGAAAATGCCTAAAATACTGAAATGATCAAAGTTATAAAACCTTCAATGGCCCAAATTCAGCCTGAGTGGAAATTCAGGCAGTCTGTTTTAAATAACAAGCAGATTTTGGACCAAATTTAGTGAAGTACATAATTCAAACAACATAAGCCACGTTAACACACCAAACAACAGGACTGACAGGCCCTTACTCTGTAGTAAGTATGGATAAAGTAGTTTATCTTTTCTCTGCAGTGAAGCAATAAATGTGATCAGTTATTACCCTGTTAGTGCCAATGACAGGCTATTGCATTAATTTTTCCTTTAACCTGAACACACATTTGAGCATATACAGCAAATAAACACTAAACATTCAAGCCTGCATTTTTATTATCAGTAATAGATAACAGAAAGGTAACAAAGGCTAAAAATGTCTGTGGATTTCTCACTTTCAGCCCTTCTCCACCTCCTGTCATCTTTACTTCTTTGTGAGTTTGTCGCCCCCTGTCTCTCCTCACTTCTAATTGCATGTCTGCACGTTTCATGTATTTATAGCAGCCCAATCACTACAGTCTCTTGGTTACAGTTAGATTTATACTGCAGCTGAAGGTCTTTATAAAAACACATTTACAATTTAATACTGTGCTCGGTTAGAAGTTAGTGCAGCTTTTAAGGGGCTGAAATTTGAAGCACCTGGAAACAAATCAAAGATAAAGTTGGCACACTGCTGCTGTGTTTCATGTTTAATGTAAACAATCCTGTCTCAGAAAAAGTAAGACTTCAGCTAAAGATGGTCAGGTTGCACCAACTGGTTTATTTTAACTGTGCATTACTTAACTATGCATTGAATATAAGTCACATGGACTTAATTTTAAGTTCAATCCATTTCATGTTATATTCATTTAGAAAAATATAGTCAACATTCATAAAAGTAACTTTAAAGAGTTTTAAAAACCTAAAGTCATGAGTTTTTGTTGCACTACTGTGTCTCATACACTGCAGTTATGGAAAAAAGTGGAAAACCAGGCAGAAAAACGTAGATAGTAAACTCAAATACAATAAGTGAGCGCCACCTACTGTACAGAAGCTGTTATAAGAAAGAATATTAAAGCAAAGTGTAGAACATGAGTGGATTTCGTGTTACGTGTATATTAAAGAGTGTTTTCCTCACTTTTTTCTGCACTTTGCTCTCACTCTCATCCTGTTAAATGCTGACCTGCTTGGCTCGGCTCTGTGTTTGGAGGTGTTGCTGGGTAACGGTCTACCTGCAGAGGGAAGTGTAGCTTACCTGTAAGCTGAGACTCAAAGAGCAGCTGTCAGACTGTGGAGCTGAGATGACTCATCTGTGGGCTTAATCCAGCATCAATAAAACAACGAAATAACAGGGAAGAAGCCGATTTCCTGGCAGACACAAACACCTCCACAGGTGGGTTTTATTCCGCTGCTGCTGTTGGTGTTCGTAACTGGAGCTACAAAAAGGCACGATTTGAGATTACCTTGCATCTGTGGCACCACCTGCAGGGGAAACTGCATGAAAATTTAAGGTTTGGTCACCATTAAGAATTGAATTTTGCAAGAACCACAATTTGTTTTGAGTAAGGATATATTATGTGCACACCTGGAAGAATTTTGTATAGAGAATATGAGTATGAAATATCAGACTGTATTAACAATGACAATCTTCATAATATGTTTTCGAAAACGAGTAAAAACTTCGGCTGCGTTATTTCACTTTTTAGGGCTTATGAGCAAAAATTGGTGTGATGCTCTTTAACAACACATTGGTACCTGTGCCTTTATTAGCAGCTGTTACTTGTTCTTACAGATTCAGTAACTTTCAGTTAGAAAAATTACATATTTTCATGATTGAAAAACAAACTATGTGCTTGTTACAGCTGTTACCCCAATAAAGCAAAACTGTGTGTGAGACAGAGACGGAGACACCGTAGGTGTGAAGATGGCATTGGCCAGCGGTCACTGGTTGGAGAAGGAGATAAAAGGAGAAGCCCCAAGTCCTAGGTGAGTGCGCCAACCTAAATAATATAAAGGTGGTGCTCTGATGCAGTATATACCACAAATAAACAGGTAACAATCACTCTTGAAAGATTAGTGTATAAATGCTAACATATGATAATATATTGTAGTAGTAGTATATTGTGACATTGTTATAGTGAACATTGTTTTACACGATACGATCAGGTCAGTAGACCATTAAAGTAATGAAATAAACTGAGTTTAATCACGTTAAAACCTTAAACCTGCAACTCCTCTGGTAGCAAAAGTAAGTTTGGTTGGATAGAAGTTTATGGGAAGCCCCCAGTTCCATTGCTGCATGTCTTTTAAATAGTTTAGTGACTTTATTGGCTTGTTGAAGTGTTCCAGGTTCCTTGGTCAGCTTGGTTGTCCTGAGGTTTCTCGACATGGACAGATGGAGACCCAACAACCGAGTCATTCCTGTTGGAATTCAAGAACATGCCTAATTGGTGCATTGAAGTCAAATTCAAATTCAAATTTTATTTGTCACGTACACAGTCAT